TCGATAAGCTTTAGAATTTAAGGAATAACCCAGAAAAATTCCTTCATCACTTTTAGCATCAAATTTGCCAAGGTTTTCTTTACCGTTGTTCAAAACAAAACATTTACATCCAAAAGGATTAAAATAGCTAATGTTAGGCTTTTTATTTTTGAAAATTTCATATGGATTTTCTTTAAAATTGGCTTAATCATTACTCGATTTATAACATAACAAGCGGTATTTGTGGCTTCCGCCCAAAATATTTTGGCAAATTATTTTCACAAAGCATGGTTCTAGCCATTTTTTCTAAAATTCGATTTTTCCTCTCAACAACTCCATTTGTTGAGGGGTTCTAGGTGCTGAAAAATTATGGCTAATACCATTAGAATTACAAAACTCAATAAATCCAAGATTTTCAAATTCGGTGCCATGATCACTCCTAACACTAGTTATAGAGTAACCTTTTTCATTTTGGATTATTTTTGAAAATGTGTTGAAATGTTCTAATGCTTCATCTTTAGTACTTAAAAATAGAACCCAAGTATATCTAGAATAGTCATCTACCAAGACAAATGCATATTGTTTTCCACCCAAGCTAGTAGTTCTAGTTGGCCCAAAAAGATCTATATGGATCAATTGTAATACTCTACTAGTTTATACGTCATTAATGGTTTTAAAAGAAACTCGCTTTTGTTTTCCTTTAGCACAAGCATCACAAATTTTATCATTATCAAATTTTAGTTTAGGCAGCCCTCGAACCAATTCTCCTTGAACTAACCGTTGCAAAACACTCATGCTAGCATGTCCTAGTCTCCTATGCCATAACAAATTATCATGCTCATCCCTAGCAACTAGGCACAAAATAGTCATATCAATAAAATCTAAATGCATCATGTATATATCCCTATTTTATGACCAACAAGCATAATCGAAAATAGATGCAATGTCAATTAATTTTGCAATCATTTAAAATAAAACATTGTATCTTTTATCAAATTTATTTTTCAAAAGATTATGCTTTTAACCCATTCACATATAAAACATTATGCAATGTTGATTATAGAGATTAAGAGCACATGCATAAAGTTTTTGAAAATGTTATGCACTAAAACTTTATAATATTTAAACAAAAATCTATGCATAAACATTAAGAAAAATTTCAGGTCAAAATTTTGCAAAACCAAAGTTCTTGAAAAATCGATATCAATTGTTAAAGAGATATCAATTACATTTTAAAAACAATTTTGACCAAAAAAATAATATGATGAACTAGAGTTTATAAAACATTACCAAAAATTACCATGTTCATCATACAATATATTTTTTTAACATACATGAGATAAAACATAATTCAATATTTTAAAACCTCATGCATGCATAAACTAAATAAGCAACCAAATAATAAAAACATTAAGTTTAGAGGTTACCCATTCCCTTTTATGTGTGGCTAGAGCATCTTGAATATCATCATCTTTATCACCATTACTCTCACACACCTACAAGAGACATTTAAGTAGATTTTGGTATCCAAATTGCTTTGGATCCTTGAACATTAGTTTCAATGCCTCTTGTTCCTTTTGGAACCCATACTTATCTAATTTTAAATCATTTTCCTTTCTTTAAAGGACAAGTATGTTCCTTATGACCATGATAATGACAATGTGAACATATTGTCATTATTGAACTAGATGAATTATTTAGAATGATCTATTTTTCTCTTGTTAAACATTCAAGCTTATCTTTTAAATTGAAATTTTCTTTTTCAATACTTTCAAATTTCATTTTTTGAGAGTTATAAATCCTTCTTCAAGATTTCATTTTGATTTTCAAATCCATTTTCATTTCTAGAAGAAGTTTGTTTAATTGAAAATTTCTTTTTCAAAGTTTTCAGATTTTATTTTTGAAAGCTCTAACTCCTTTTTCAACATTTTATTTTGATTTTCCAAGTCTGTTTTAGCTTTCAAAAGAAGATCATTTTTAGCAATAAATTTAGAAATCAATTTATTGTATTTGGAGTTCATGGTCTCAAACTCCAAAAATAATTTATCATAAACATCTTGTAACTTATAAAAAGATTTTGAATTTGATATATTTGAGTTAGAAGATACATTTGGCTCTGTGAGAGCTAATAGAGACATCACTTTTATTGGTTATTCTTCTTCCTTGTCTCTATAGATCTCCTCAAGCTTATCCCACATTTCCTTGGCACTTGAACAAGAAGAAACTCCTTTATATACATTAGGATCAATTGCACAACATAACATGTGCATAGCCTTTGAGTTTTGTTGAGCTTCATTCCGTTCTTGAACACTCCACTTCTTTGCCTTCTTAGTAGGAGAGGAATATCCTTTCTTGATTATCATCCAAGCTTCCATATCAAATGCTTTGATGAATATCATCATACACCTCTTCCAATGACGATAATTTGTTCCATTGAAGTATGGAGACACGTCAATAGGTTTGGATTCTTCCATGGAGAATAAACCGGAAGTAGACGCCATCTTTATCGATTTAACTCTTCCCGGATCGACTCAAGAGGCGATTAAACCTTCAAATGAGTGAGGCTTTGATACCAATTGTTGAGTTAATCGATTGATGGAAATGGCCAAGAGGGGGGGTGAATTGGCAATTAAAATTTTGTGGAAGCTTTTGCAGAAAATTGAAAGTATTTGCACAACGATTTAGAGTGGTTCGACTTTCTCAACCAAAGTCTACGTCCACTACCTTAGCTATCCACACTAAGGATTTTCCAACAAATTCACTAATCTGTTCTTTCTTTTGAGGACAAAGAGTAACCTTACAACTCCCTCAAGAATTATACCCCAAATTCTTGAGCACATTCTTTTTCAAAGAGAAATACACAAATTTACAAACTTACAAGGAAAACCTTACAAGGTAAGACGTTTGCACAATTCTAGAACAAGAAAAGAACACTCACAAATAATTACAAATGAGCACAAATGGTGTTCTTGAAAGCAAAATGAATATTGAAAGGAAAATTGGCTTGATTTGCACAAACTTGGTGTTTGATGCTTTCTCTCTTGTTTCTCTATAATTTCTTATTGATCAAAAGCTTCAGAACTTGTTTAAATACACATTGAATCACTTCTGAACGTTTGGGATGATTAGTGGAGATAATAGAGTCGTTTAAGTGTGAAATCATTTAATAAAACAACTTGGAACGTGGGGGGAATCGGTACCCCTCATGAGGAATCGGTTCCCTAAGTGTAAAATTCAAATATTCGACCGTTGAACAGTGGGGGGAATCGGTACCCCTGGGGAGGAATCGGTTCCCTCCGAGCATACTGGAATTCTCGGAGCTAAACCATTCAGGGGGAATCGGTACCCCCTTGGGGGGAAATCGGTTCCCTATGGACAAACTGTAATTTTTGGCTTTGAAACGGTTCGAAATACTTTGTAAAATTGTTTTAAAATTATTTTAACATTAAAACTTAATTTTACACTTTAGTAAGGATTTAAAATAAACTTTGAAATACTTTGAGTAATTTTGATATTCGATTAATATATCGAATGTGCTTAGAAAATCTTTTCAAAATTAAAATTCTTTTAATTTAATTTGTTATATTGAAACATCAAAATGTTTTCAACATATAGTTTATAGAAATACTATGCATAAACTATATAAAATAATAAAGTATATAGTTTATAGAAACCCTAACCCTAAATAGACTATATATATATATATATATTATATTAATATAAATTATAACATATAAACTATATTTTATATAGTTTATATGTATATATATATACTATATTAATATAAATAATATTTTATAAACTATATACTTTTTATAGTTTTATACTTTTTATAGTTTATACATATATAGTTTATATGCATAGTTTATATATATAGTTCACATAAACATAATTTATATATATAGCTTATAATAATTATATAGTTTATAATATAAATATAGTTTATAATTTTATATACGTAGTTTATATATAGTTCACATAAATATATTTATATATATAGTTTATAATAATTATATAGTTTATAATATAATTATAGTTTATATAATTTTATTATATATATATTATATTTTTTAATTTTTTAAATGAATGCAAGTTAGTATATTTTTCATTATTTTATCACATTTTGCATTTATTTCTATTTAATCCTTTTTGTTTTTTATTTATTTCAATTTTAAGTCTTTCACTTTTATATGTATTCAATTTAGTCCTTAAATTTATATTTACATATTCCATTTTTAGTTGTTATTTATTTATATTTTGTAATTGGCCCATAATTTTTTAAATGTGTTTAATTTAGTCCTTTTTATATTAATTTAAACCTCACATTTTAAATTTATTTCGATTTAGTCCCTTACCTATGTGTGTTTAATTATTTTAAGATTTTATTTGTAATTTTACATTTCTTCAATTTTTTTCATTAAATTTATTTTTTACAAATTGATCCATGAATATTTATTTTTCTCTTAATTTACTCGAAATCATATACAATTACAACTTGCAATTCAACAATCACGAAAGATAACAAAATAATTAATCCAAAAAATAAAAACGACCCGACCTGAACTCAATCCGTATCTGATAAACATCCGACCTGAATTTTATCTGTCAATGATGTGACTTGATCTGAACGAGATCCGACTGAAGTCCACCCGAACCTGAATTAACCTGGTCTTTATATGCTTCGGACCTGAACTGACATCGATCCGAACTGAAAATGACCCGACCTGAACCCGATCTGGATATGGTGTCAAATCAACATGAAAATAATCCGAACTGATTTAACCTGACCTAAATTTGATCTAGATCTAATATCAAATCAATCTAAATTGACCTGTACCCGATATACCAAGATCCGATTGAAACCTGTCTGATTACCTGATTTTACATCCTACTGCTCACACCGAATCTTAACTCCTCCTTCCCTTCATTAAACTAAAGTTTTTCTCAGATGCAAGAAATGTAAACCCTTATTAAACAAAGCTCTGATATTTTTTAATATATTGTTTTCATTTTAGCTTTCCTCAAAAAGCTTCAACATAATCAAATCAAGTTTGGGATCAGTGTTCGAACTTCAAGACACAGGAAAAATAAGGTATTTTATTTTCTGTATTTGTTTTCTTTGATTCTTCTTATCATGAATTATGCTTTGATGTTGGGATCTTATTTGATTTCTTATTTCTTGAATCTTCCTTTTTTGGGGTTAAAATTATCCCTGCTGTTATTTTTCAGTGTAAAATGAATATGGAATTATCTAGCTGAGTTTGTATATGGATTGAACTGAATTTCATTTGTGAGCAGTAGCTGGAAAAGATGAACTACATGCTGATATCTTTTTCCTTTCTTTTGTTGATGCTTTTATGTATTGCAAGTTAAAGATTTTGAGGGTTTAAATTGTTCTCTTTGCAGGTTTTGAATCAATTTTGAGTTATAAATAATATTTGCTGATTTTTTGATCGAGGGTACTTTAGATATCCTTTGGTACATCCTTTCAGCATTCTCAAGTTCGTTTTCAAGGAGAGAGTAAAAGTCCCGGGAATGCTGGAAGATGTGCCTCATCCTCCAGAATTCCATCTTTGAAGTTGATGAACTTACCGGTTTTCGAAACTTGACCTTATTCATCTTTGATGATATTGGATTTGGAGTTATTGGCGAACCATCATTAAATTTCGATGCACAGAAGCAGAAAAGGCTTGTAAGTACTTTGAGAGCGCCTTTTCTGTTTTTACATGAACTTTGTGGAGCCGGTTGAGCTTGATATATAACAGATACTACCTGTTCTGTAAATCACATAAATTGTGCTTGCAAGGTGTGTTAGTTGATATTGCTAAATATTAGGTTAGTTTGGAATGGAAAATAACCGAGTGTATTGACCCGACGATATGAAATTGGGCGACAACTTGGCCAAGGTGCCTTTGCAAAGGTGTATTATGCGAGGAGTATACAAACCAACCAGAGTGTGGCCATAAAAGTGATAGACAAAGAAAAGGTCACGAAGGTCGGGACGATTAATCAGATCAAGCGAGAGATTTCGGTGATGAGAATCGCTAAACACCCTAATATTGTGCAGCTTTATGAGGTAATGGCCACCAAAACTAAGATTTTCTTTGTTATGGAATACTGCAAAGGTGGTGAGCTCTTTAACAAAGTTGCTAATGGAAGACTAAAGGTTGATGTTGCAAGAAAGTATTTTATCCAGCTGATTAATGCAGTTGATTTCTGCCATAGTAGGGGTGTTTATCACCGCGATATAAAGCCTGAGAACTTGCTGTTGGATGAGAATGAGAATCTAAAGGTCTCTGACTTTGGGTTAAGTGCGCTAGCGGAATCAAAGCGTCAAGATGGCCTGCTTCATACTACTTGCGGTACTCCTGCATATGTTGCTCCTGAAGTGATCAGCAGAAAAGGTTATGATGGAGTAGCAGCTGATATTTGGTCGTGCGGAGTTGTGCTATACGTCTTACTATCAGGTTATCTCCCATTTCATGATTCAAACTTGATGGAGATGTATAAGAAAATTGGCAAAGCAGATTTCAGATATCCTAGCTGGTTCCCTCCGGAAGCACGCAGGCTGGTCTCTAAGATGTTGGATCCAAACCCAACTTCTAGGATTTCAATGTCTAAGATTAGGGGAAGTGGTTGGTTTAAGAGAGGATTGATTGCCGAACTAAAAAAACCTGAAATGGAAAACGAGCAAGCTTCTCAGGATAGTGGGAATAGCAATCACAATGCCGAGACTAAACAAGAATCAGTTCAACTTCCAAACCTAAACGCATTTGATATCATATCACTTTCAGATGGGTTTGATCTGTCAGGATTGTTTGACAGAATTTCTGAAAAGAGAGAAACAAGATTTTCTTCCAGACAACCTGCCTCGGTCATCATCTCTAAGCTGGAAGAAGCTGCTAGACGTTTGAAACTAAAGGTGAAAAAGAAGGATGCAGGTGTGTGGAAACTGGAAAGGCTAAAGGAGGGTCGAAAAGGGATCTTGTCAATCGATGCGGAGATCTTTCAAGTGACTCCGACATTTCATCTAGTGGAGATTAAGAAATCTAATGGAGACACTTTGGAATATCAGAAGATGGTTAAAGAGGATATGAAGCCTGCTCTCCAGGATATTGTATGGGTTTGGCAGGGTGATCAACAACAGCAACACGAGGAACACCAGGAGCAACCTCAACAACAGAATGATTCTAGCTCTGCCTCCACCAGCAACTATGACTAACCTTCTTAAAACTGCTAATTTTCTCAAGATGTTTGTACATTGCCATACTGTGTTTTTGAACTCTTTTGTTTGATCTTCATATGATTGTATTAAGCCTGTTTCAGTAAAGTTACTGTCCTTTGGCAAACGTAACTGATAGCTGACTAGACTATCATTGGACATCGTCCTACTTGTACAGATACCATCTCTCTCAATCTAGCGTTATTAGGTGAATGAAATTGGGATTAGTGCGGCCTGCACTTGATTTTGAGTGTGTTCATATTCTTGTTTGACATTGAAATTTATTAAATTGTTCGGAAATCAGCTGTAAGTGGCTTCAGAATACTTGCACCTCAGGGGAAAAAAAGAAATCATAAAATTGCAATTAAAAAGGAGAACTTATGGAGACACAAGTCCAACCATGAGACTAGAGACCATTAAATCACATGTTGAGCCTTTCTTATTTCAATTTGTAGAAAGAAAATTAGTGATTCATTTATTGGATGATGATGATCATTAGTGGGATTTGAGATATTTAAGATGTGTGGTTCAAAAACTTCAAATAATATTGAATAGCCCAAAGGCCATACTTTTCCTTTTATAAAGATGTGTGGTTCATATTTTTAAGCCAATAAAGGCAACAATTGCGATTGATAGCTAAGCCACTTACCACTCACCAGGTGTCTTTCTAATAAGAGTGAGAATAGGCCACGACCTACATAAAACCTGACTTGAATTAACCTATTTAATAAAAAGGTTAGGCTCAAACTTTTTTAAAAACATATTAAATTAAATAGATCAGATTTAGTTTTATTAAAAAGCTTGATAGGTCGGCTTATATATACTTATATTATTTTTTGGATGACTATTTTATTACCATAGACCTTATTGAATCTTTTAATGTGGCACATTTGCGTTAAAATTTATTATATTTTAATAAATAATGATAGGTTTAGACCCTACACCTTATTAAAATATAATTAAATTAGTGGTTGGAAAATTACTATATTTTAATAAATAATGACCGGCTTAGAGTCTCTAGTCGAAAATCCATTCATTCCTAGGCAACTTTCATGATTTTCGAGGGAGGGAAGACAATTGTGGCAAGCATGATATCAAGGTGTGGGTTTCAACAATTATTTTAGCTATATTTTTTTTTAACTCTTTTAATACTTTTTCACTTTTTTTTAGTTAAAATGCGGGACCAAATTTATATTAGGGTGTGACTTTCAACAATTATTTTATGTATTTTTATATTTTAAATTAAAAAATTTTGTGGGTTTTAATAAATAAAAAATTAAATCGGATTGGGTTGGGTCGACTCGGGTCAGATGAAATTTAATGTGAAGAAGGCTTTTAAAAAGACTATCAGGCCAGGCTTTTAAAAAGGCCAGGTCGAGCCAAAATAAAAGCCTTTGATAGTCTATAGGCTAGGCTCGACCTAAAAAATTTATCATAGGCCAGACTCAGGCCTTTAAAAGCCTGACCTATTCCCACCCGTATTTCTCAGTGATTACGTGCTTTGCTTTGGATTAAGCGGAAGGGCATCCCTCAACCACACGCCTAGGAACGGACATTCTATCCGAATCCGAAAGGTTTTGATTCGATCCGATTTAATTGGGTTATGTTTTTAAAAAAAATTAGATTCAAGTCGGGTCATGTCAGATTTTTTAAAGGTGATATTCAGTCCTGATTCGGGTTTAGGGTGAAAAAAAACATGACCTGACCAACTTGGAAAAAAATATAATTTTATCTTATATATTTAGAAATAATATATATAATATCTCTATATATTATTTTTTACACGCGCCATTGTCTCTCCACACTTGGAGTCATGTTATCATGACCTACTTCACGTCTTACTTTTAGTGGTTGCTGCTTAAAAGCTTGATTCGATTTCACTTGATGCAAGTATTTTACCCAAATAATCACTCAATTCTTTTACTTCTATTTTGGTCATTTTTGTATAAAATTTTTTATTTTATCATTTGATTTTTATATTATTTCTATTGTGATCACTATATTATAAAATAATTAACGAATTATGATATAATAAACTGTACCAAAAAGATGTCATTTTATAAAGGCCTGCATATGCTCCTTTATACTGGATTGAAGCGAGCTCAAAATCTACTCACATCAAGGGGTAGTATCTTATAACGTTCGAATAAATTCGACATTAGTCACAAAATCTACAGAATCAAGAAAATAGAGGAAGCGAAGAAATAGAAATATGAGAAAGAAACTTTAGTACTTTTAACATAGAAAAAAGTTAACCCTTTCACTTCCTCTATTGGTTATACTACGTCATTTATGTAATTTTAAGGGAACCATCCATGAGCATGACACCATATAATTCATACCCGCAGTTCCTATCATGTCCCATTTCATTGCTTCATCTGCCATTATTTTCATATAACCTGCACAAGTTCGTATGCTCATTGTAAACAAGGTATTACTGTATCTACAGCCTGAATATATAATCCATTAGCCTAAGTTCTTGGTAGTATCTAAACATCATAATTCAATCAAACATCGATCCTTTTTCATGCATTGCAGCCCAGAATTCATAGAAAGTTTCTCATATTCGCATCTAGAAAGTGAATAAAAACTTACTATTGAACCAAGGTGGAAGAAAGAAAAGAAAGTTGAAGGAGGGAGACAAGGTGAAAGGGGGAGGGACAGTTTACAGAATGTGTAGACGGCTGGAAAGATTATGAAAGAATAAATGACAACCATTCAAAAAAAAAGGATCAAACAGTAATCCGATATCTTGAGTGAGATCTTTGACCAAGAGGAAAACTACTTAGTAATATCAAAACACCAACCATGTTAAATTGCAGTTGCAGTGTCTGTAGCAGATGTGGTTTGTGAATGTTGAAGATGTTACGTAACACGTAACAGTGTCGTAGACGTGATTTACTTCTTAAAAATCCCAATATTTTAAATTGTGGATGTGGTTCGGTGACCTTAAAAACTGTTATGAGACTGCCTTTACCCTACAATGCGGCCAAAATTTAGCACTATGTAAAGATACTGTAAACAGAAGTTACAAGATACCAATGCATAGTTACATAAATGGTGCCAGCAACAAATTGCAAGTCTGTAACCACCGAAAACCTGATACATGCACATATAGTTCAGAAACAAGAAGATGCTTATTCACAGTAACCTTTCAAGCTTTCATGAAGCAGCATGTCATTGATTTGGATATATTTCCACAAACAAGAAGTTGCATAGAAAACTGAAATACATATTTCCAGTAGCTTCCAACTATATAACTTTTCAATCTTACAGCCTCAATACATTTATTATTGATCCAGATATGCAGCTTATAAGCTTGAAGAGACCAGTCCAAATTGGAAGTTATTACAACTTTCATAAAGCATAAAAATTTACTATTTTATGAACAAATTGAATGGTGCACGGAGAAGCTGAAATACTATTTCCAGTAGCTTCCAACTATATAACTTTTCAATCTTACAGCCTCAATACATTTATTATTGATCCAGATATGCAGCTTATAAGCTTGAAGACCAGTCCAAATTGGAAGTTATTACAACTTTCATAAGCATAAAAATTTACTATTTTATGAACAAATTGAATGGGCACGGAGAAGCTGAGTCCAAGAACAAAGTCATTAGCTTTAGACAACAGACAATTTAAAGTAAGACTAGGGTATAATCAGAAGAAAGGAAACACGTTCCAAAGCACACAAGAAGCTCATAACAATATATATATATATACATATGTCCCTTTTAATCGAGAAGGAATTTATTATTTCTGTCAATCTGGGACCCAAATTGAAGCTACAGGAGCAAGATCCAGGAAATATGTACAACTGTAGTTCTTCAAATACAAAGAACAATTGCAATGACGAGGAAGAATAGCAAACCCCCAAAATAACGAGATCAAGAAAACGTATTTGCACAAGATTTGTTGAATACAATTAAAGGAGTGGAATCAAGTGGAGTGCTTTGAGTTTGAGGAAACCAAATGCCTCCACAAGTAACGACCACTGGCCATGTCGACGCACGTCCAGACCCAGATTCTATAGCTTGCCGGACCTAGTTCAAAACAAATTAAGGTTTTATTGTTAATACAAGAGGGTAAGGAAACAGATATGAAGAAAAGAAGATACCTTGGAGAAGGCAGAGTGGGAGTTGTTTGTTTGTAATAAGGAAAGTCCGGCGAGAGTTGCAGACAGAAAAATCAGGATCAGCCTCAGCGGACATTCTCCAAATTCGCCCGCCCTAATTTCTAATTTACTTCGACGTTCTAATTTCTAATATACTGTCCAGATCTATGAATATTGATTATACTCAAATATCAAATTAATTATTTCTAAATTAGTTTTTGCTTTTAATTGATTTTTAAAATCTCATCCTTTGCTAATTGAATTTGTGACTGTAATGTAAAATTATATTTTATTAGTCTACCTTTTAAAAGTATAATTAATAGATATTTTGATCTATTAATAAAAGATGAAATTTTGTTGGTTGAAAACAAATACGAATAAAATATTTTTTCTTAATTTTAATTTTATTTTAATCACCCACAGTTTAAAAAATTAATGATATACTAACATGTCACATAAGATAATATCACATCATCATTATAAAAAATAAAAAAATAACACTCAACAATTCTATTAATTTTTTTGAAGAAAAGTGACAAAAAAAAACAACTAAACTAAACTAAACATTATGTATGATTTTGAAACAAAAATAGTTGAATGACCAAAACAAAATAAAAGTAATGGCTAGAATACTAAACATTTAGTTTGCCCTTTTATCTAATTAATTTCATATCCAGAGTGCCAATTTTGGTCTGGCACCAGCATCAACCTACAAGTAACATTGGTCACATCCTAATCCTATTTCGGCTTTTGGCAAATCTTTTTAGTTGGGTTAGATAGCAATTTTAGTCTTACCAATGCATCAATAATAAGCTTTGAACACCCTATGGTTGCCCAATGAATGAACCCACAACTTCACCGTGCTTTTGCTTTTTGAGAAATACCAAGCTTATACAAACATCTGGTACCTTCTTTATACTACCAACAAAGTATCTTATCCCTAAAGCTTTGTTTTATAAGGCTTTTTTAAAATAAAAACAAATCCTCAAAAAGTTTCTTGTGATGCTGCAGAAAGAGTGGGGACTCCCCATCAATACCTCTCCATATATATCAATTCCTGTGAGCTTCTATGCTGATTAAATAACTTGAAGCTGATAACAATGACAAGAGCAGGTCCACTAAATGAATATATCAACTTCTGCCCTTCACCCTGCCAACTCTAAAGCAGAAGCAAAAAAGACTAAAAACAATGAGTTGAGGTTAAAATTTTAGACGCATAAACTAGTCAAAAGGTAAACCCTTATCAAGTTGGAAGCCATTCCTGATGCACTGATTAGTAAACGATACCCGTCAATCACAGTTTACAAGGTTTGGGGGAAAATTTCATCAGTTCACATCTAAAGAATCCAAAATGTTTTTAATTTCATCAACAGTTAAAGAACTACATGAGACATTATGGACAAGAAGCGAAATAATCACCTGGCCAGAATTAGAGCTTGGCAAACCTAGCAATCTTAGATAAGACAGTTCTTAAACTTCGGATACCAGCTCCAGTTTTTGAGCTCACCATCACCTGAAATAAAATCAATATCCATTTACATAGGCATCCTACTCGATAATTTATAGAACATCAAACAAGTTTGTTTCTTCATACCACCGGTTGAACAAGAGATCTATTTGCATTGAGGCTCTGCAAAGCCACATGGATTTTAGAAACTGGTCAGCATCAAAGGCAAGATGCTAATTTCAATGAAAATGTGAAACATCAATGCATAAAATCACCTCTTCGATTTGCATTGCACGACGTGCCACATCAATTGGGAACACCGTATCCGTCTTGGTTAAGACAATCTGGAATTTTGTTTGAGATCTGTATATTAATAAATGAGAAATCAACAAAATAAATCAAGTACATGCAATACTCCTAGTGTGGTTTATGTTCCCTTATGCATAAAGGTCAACAGACATGCAAGATCGCTGCCTAGTCATACCACGCCATCTAAGGTAGTATCTCCAGAACGGCAAATAATGATCTTCACCTCACCTCCTCCTTTCCCTCTTAACCAAATAATGAAACTTGAGTCTCAAATCTTCATTGCCATTTGCCGATTGAGACAGTGTCAGTTATGCAACGTATGGGGTCCCCCGGGTCCACACACAAAGGATGTGTTGTTCTAAAAAGTTATCTTAACTCTTAGGCATTTGCACTCCTTTAAATGCCTACATCAACCAAAATCTTCATGTTGTACAATAAGATTTTAATCTACTCTTATCCAGGGAAAGGAGGCAACACCCAGAGTACCAAACGATATGCAACTATAATACCAAATTAAGTTTCCTCTTCCTTACATGCCTTTTTATGCAAATAAAATATTAATTACAGGCTTAAAAGTCACCAGTTTGATATCGAGAAAATAAAACAGAAATATACCTTTCCATTAAATCAATGAGTTCATTGTCTCTAGGCTTCATACCCCACTTTGTATCAATGAGAAGGCACACTCGTTTTAGACCAATTCTTGTTGAAACATACTCCTTGACCTGCAAGTTTTAACAGTTAACAAGTACTTAACTGCAAGAGGTTAAATCATACCTTACTGGTTTTGACAAGAAACTAACAAGAAGAAAAACCATAAAACGTAGACTGTAACTCAGTCAGTTCTCAGATTTTCAACTCGGAAAACATTCCAAACAAATAATTTCAGCCTCCCATTGTCAATTACCAGTACACACAAACTTGTCTAACACTTGATTGGTTCAGAAAAAACAAATGTCTACCTTGTCCAACAACTGATGAAAACAATCATGCTCACTAGCAAAGCAATCTGATAACTAGGACCGGCACAGATTAATTATCGTGTTCAGCACCAATAAGGTGTTAAAAAATGCAAAGGCTAACTAAAAGATAAAAAACAGCAGCTGGCAAAGGCTGGATGCCTGGATCCAAACACAATGTACTCACCAGGTCTTCCCATGCCTCCTTAACTTCTTCCTTTGCATAGGCAAAGCCATAGCCAGGCAAATCAACCAAGCAGAGCTTTGATCCCAACTCGAAGAAATTAATACTCTGCAACAAAAACAGTTTCTGTAACCTTTGCAAGAAAGATATATTACCAGGAAATTGAAAGCATAGATTTAAGAAAATTGGGAGGACTTGAGTGTGGCCTGGTTTGTCTGATGTCCGTACAACACCCCATTGCCTAGTAAGTGCATTGAGAAGAGATGACTTCCCAACATTTGACCTACTAACAAGGGCAATAAAGATGTATATTCTTAACATGAATATATGTAGATAAGATTTTAGAGACTACAACAAGTTGTCATATGTCGCATCAAAACAAAAATGAGCAGACGGTAAGCAAAGCGTCAAACCAGCTTAATGTGAAAATAAGATAATCCAATCTTAGAAACTCATTAAAATTGGACAATGAAAGGAAGGTCGCATGCAGAAAAAGAAAGTCAATCCAGCAGTCTCATCATAAGTCCCCACAGACAAACTTGGAAAGAGTACAGATACAGAGCATAGTTACTATAGCTGCTGGCGTACAACTTTCCCAATTGATACTTGCAATAACCATAGAGTGAGAATTATACTCTTTCAATTGGTATATGAGACAATAGAATGTTATACTGAGAAAACGAACACTTTTGAAGCCATCAATATGGAAAGCGTACAATATCCAGAAAAATTGAAACCTAAAATAAAACCAACAGATGTGGAAGGAAAGAATGAAAAACATCAGGTATCTACTGCAAATGCAATCTCTGGAATATCAGGTGAGGGAAATGACGATGAAACCTTTGCTGCAGCAAAAAAATGCAACTTGTTCCTAAATATCTGCAAAAAACATTGACCTATAGATGAACACAGCAGAAAAAAGAGTAACTTTAGCTAATTATCACATTGATAATAATAAAAAAGACACACGTTTCCTCAATGCGTTCCCTTTCAGGATTGGTAGAGAAAGGGATGTTGTCTAACGGGGCAGAGAGCTCAGTGTTATAGCCTGCTCTCTGGATCTCAATAGTTCGTCTACGCCCTAGCAACTGTAAATGGTATTTAAAAGTCAGAATGCAGAATCAATAAAAAGATTTGAATTTAAAGTCCAAACATCTCAAGGCACTAGGCGAACAAATTACATTATCTTCCACAAAGGAAAGGATGGAGGGACTCGGCTGTATTCCACGAAATTGCGCATTCTTTGACATGGGAGCATTTTCCGCCAAATCTTTTTATCCTTTTTACATTCTGAAGAGGAATAAAGAAACAGAAAAAATAAAAGTTCAAACAAAAAATTCCATTTCAAACAAGTATAATTACAAAGTGGTGCAAATAAAAGAACACCAGACAAATTGGGGAAGTGTAAGGAAAAACCGACCATTGATTGCAGTGCCATCATCTAGCCGCTTGTTTGAGGTATCATAAGGATCTAAGAATTCTCTTTTTCTTCTTTGGTTTATCATCTACAACTCTGAATCAGTTTTTAAGCTTTTTTATCCCGAGATGTTTTTTTAGTTGAGTTGGATCTGGCATTAGCATTGGCATATTTCTTTGATGAATCAATTGGAGCACTACCCATTTCAGCTTCATCTTTCGCACTTCTGCTGGCATTCTTAGGGTTACGAGAAGTAGCTTCACCTGATTAGTAACATACTCTAACGGAGGAGAAGCTTTGCCATTGCCTTTTCTCCCTTTGTTTAGGTCACTCTTGACCATCTTCGAGTGTTTTCCAGACGAAGCCTTCGTCTTGGTTGCCTCTAAATTCTTATCAATCTTAAATGAACTTAATTGATGAGAATCAACTCGCTTTCTTCTCCCATCATCCGCACCCTTGAGTTTTCTACTATTAGAGTTGCTCTTCCCAAGAGTAACAACCCATTTCAACACTAGGTTTAGGGCCTTCCCTGTTAATGTAATTCTTAGGCTTCCCCATGGAAATCTTTGGTTTTTTGTTGAGCTTAAGATTTATCCCTGCCTTTCCAGACATTCTCAACTTCCCAGTTCACCGGAACAGAAGAAAAAGAAGCAGTCCCAAAACCCGATAACGTACCTTACGAACAAATTTTCTTCAGTTCTAAACCTCCATGAACGGCTAGGTTAGCCATTACCTCTTTCTGTGTTTTGGGTTTTGTTTTTCCTTCATGGTGATTCTGCCCTAATTTGAAGTTGGAAGATTTTAGAGTAAATTGGGCCAGACATTGTTGCTGCATAAATGAATAGACCCACAAATTTTGCCTGCGAATGTGAGCTTAACTTTTGGGCCATTCAGTGTATGCATATACAATGCATCCGCATATGGACTATTTTATAAGATTGGATTACGTTTTTGCTCTGCCCCGTTTCATCTTATAGATAATTAATTCAATCATATTCTTATCATTGCAGTTCGAGGATAATGCCATAGCTCCATTAATGAATTTATTATTCTCTTTGTCCCCACTTCTCTTATATACACAAACAGAGAAATACAACAGTAGAGGTAATGTTGGGGGTGTGAATTTTGTTCTTCCCCCCAAAACAAGCGATTATCTTACAAAAATGCTGCTAACATACTTCAACTTGCATTATTATTATACCAACTGCTGTATGTTACAGAAGTAAGTTTCACCCTTCCTTTTCCTCCAAAGGAAAATTCTTCCATTGAGAAAAAAGCATATTGCCTGTATTCTTCCCTTTTATATCATCAACTCTAACAACAAATAAAAATGATAACAAAAAGCAGCCATTTTGAAATTAACAATCTTGTTAAACTTCCATCTCTATGTTTCCACCAGGGCGGGCCTCATCTTTTCGTTCCAGAATTCCTTGTACCATTGCACATCACTGCCCCTTCTCTTGGCTTCTACCACCACCAGCTCATCGGTTAACCGGTAAACTTCGACAGCTACACCAAAATTTCCGTCTTTTCCCTCCAATTCAACACCCCATTCTTTCCCCTTCTTCACCCTCAATCTCGCCCTTGCCTACTTCCTTCACTTTCTCCACCAATTTCTCCGGTGCCTCTTTTAACACCAAACGTTCACCGAAATCATGGGATTCATCTAACAACCCGACAGGTCCAAACCCGATGAGAAGGATCAAATCGAATGCATTCAACTCCAAGCTTTTGATCTGAGCTTCGTCCTTGACTTGATCCTCATGGAATTTGGGTTCATTGTAGCCCTTCCTGAACCATGGATCCTTTAGGATCTCATCAATGGTGATCCTCGTCTCGGGATTCGTGTCTAAAAGCCGAGACAGGAACCATTTCGTATCGTGGACATCCATTTAGGGCACTTAAACTCACCCTTGTAGATCTTCTTGTACATAACCATGAGATTGGGATCGTTAAAAGGGAGGTAACCGGCGTGCAACACGAAGAGAATGATGCCATGACCAGACGTCCACCTTAGCTCCATCGTATCCCTTCTTTGTCAAGATCTCAGCGCCACGTAAGCAGGAGTCCCACACAAGGTGTGAAGCATGCCGTCGGCTCGGATCTGATCGGTGACGGCGCTGAGACCGAAATCCGAAACCTTCAAGTTCCCGTTGTCGTCAAGGAGTAGGTTCTCAGGTTTCAGATCACGGTGGAATATGCCGCGAGCGTGGCAATACCCGACGGCGGAGATGAGCTGTTGGAAATACTTACGGCTGAGATCCTCGGTGAACCTCCTTTAGCAACCTTGGCGAACAATTCCCCACCTTTAACGAACTCCATTACGACGTAGATCTTGGTTTTGGTGGCCAATACCTCGTAAAGCTTGACGATATAAGGGTGGTTCAAGCAACTCATGATGGAGATCTCGCGCTTGACGTTGGACACCGAGTTGGGGCTGGACAGCCGTTTCTTGTTGATGACCTTAATGGCCACGCTGAGCCCGGTACGGACGTTCCTCGCATGGTAAACCTTGGCGAAGGCGCCGCAACCGGAGCCTGCCGATCTCGTATTTGCCGAAGAGGGCATTCTTTGGGACATGTTCAATCTCTGGCATAGGTGGTGGAGCCAGAGATCGAACCCAAACGGCGGATTGCTTCGGCAAAAATACGGAAAGAAAAACTAAAAAAGAAAAAAATAATGGAGATCTTAGTTGGCAGAGTTGGATTGTATAAGAATTCAAACGTTGACGGAGAAGATATATGAAAACGTACATGAATTTTAACGACGAGAGCGTTCTTCTGAATTATCGGTGGAAGTTCGGAGGGAGGCCGACCGGCGGAAGAGTCTTTAACCTTAACACGGTTTCTCTCTTTTTTTTTTTTGAATAAATAATAAAATATGTAAGATGTTGTTGCAGGTGATTATTGGAAGACGAGTTGATAACGAATAAGCGAACAGCCTGTTGAATGTTGAATACAATAATATTGCCGTCCAAGTTGTCTCAACTGTTTGCAATTGTATCGTTTTTTAGGGTAAACAATAATGATCCCTTATGACTTTGGTCTCTTTGGTTTTGGTCACTTCTTTTAAAAACATTTAGTTTGCTCACTTATTTTCAACCCTTCTTATTTTAATCACTGAGTCGTTAACTTCTACTTTGCAAATGTGACATATTTATAAAAATAGTTAAATTTTAACCTGACCCATGAATTTTAGACATAATACTAATTTGACCTTAAATTTTATAAATACTAATTTAACCTCTAAAATTTATATAAAATATCAATTTGACCCCTAAATCCAATTAAAGTTCACATTGTTAGTCATCACTTATCACCTTCGTCAACCACCGTTGATTGTTATCATTGATCAATAGCGACTACATCCTCAACGATTGTTGGACTTGAAATTTCATTTCACCTTTTTTTATCATTAAAATGGGAATCCACTTCTATTGCATCGAAAAAAAATTTAAAATAAAATTAATATAAAAATCAAAATTAATTTCATTTCATTTATAATCATGTTAACTTTGAATTTTGATTTTCAATTTTTTATATTAATTCTATTTTATTTTATTTTTAATCTTTTGTTTTTGTTACACTTCAATTTTGGGTTAGAAATTATGGGGACAAATTGAAATTCGATACCTAATTTGTAAAGGTAATGACAAAAATGAATTCTAGGTAAAATCTGATATCTGTTTTGAGAATCATAGAAAATTGGATGGCATATTTGGAAATTACTTTTTCTCTCTTTCAATTGGTTTTGGAGAACTTTTAGAATAAGAAAAGGCCAAAATGATTTCTATATCTTGACACCGCACACCTCCCTTCACCGGCCATTGGAGTTATCGCCGTCGTCGTTTGAGAACTCAACTGACGTTGTCAACCTTTGCCTCATCGGACAACCTCATCTCTATCTTTTTCTTTTATTTCTTCCAGACCTGATGCTCGCCTACGCCCAACCTTTTTAACTTCAATATGCTATCTAGGGTAAGCTTTCGATCGAGTCGAATCAAGGTGAATAAATTTTTTAAAGTTATTCTAGTTAACGAGTCCTATTTTATAACTCGGAGTCGACTTGAAATTTTTTCGAGTCAAATTTTTGAGTTTCTATTTAAATTTAATTCTAAATATTTACAATATTATAACATCATTTGATTTTTATTTAAATAATATTTTATAATCATATACAATATTTTTTCATATGTGATTTATATATATCATACAAAGTCTAGGGACTTAACTCAAGCTTCGATTAAAAATTAAAAATCAATTTACTAATTAGTAAAAAATTTTGAGTTATTCGAGTTGTATTTTACAACTCGATTTAAACTTAAATTTTTTTCGAGTTAAGAGAAGTCAATTGAAGTCGAATCGAAAAAATCAATTTTTCGAGTCGAGTTGAGTTTTGCTCACCCCTACTACCTCAAGGTCAACGCCGCCTCCTATTATTCAGTGATTCTGATGGGTTTACCTTACTAATCATTACCGGGATTGTCTCAGGAAAGGCGACTAATATATGGCTAAAATACGGCATTACCAGATATATTAAAAGATATTTAACAAATTCGGTTTAGCCCTATCTATTTGTTGACAGACTAATAATCTTTTAGGTAGAAAACATGAAAAACTATTAAAAATTTTGGTAATCGGTAAACTTTGGTTATCGGTAAGTATCGATACATATATATAAGTGCTCATACTTATTTCATGGAAAACATTAATTTAAGGTTATTTTTTTAGTGAGTTTTAAGATATTAATTTAGTAATTATACATGTCTAATGGTTTATTTTTATTTTACGGTATATATTATTATTAAATTAAAAATAATAAACATCGATATTACATATTATTATTTTTGGTTAAAATTGTTAAATTTAAATTTAGATAATATTTTATAAAATATCAAAACAATCAAATATTTTGTGTAAATGAAATTATTAAATTAATATTGTATGTGGAAAACATGATGCAATATTAAAAAATTTTTGAAACATAAATTACATAACTTTCAACAAAGTATCGATACATTTTTATAAAAAGTATCTATACTTTCAACATATCAGGTAAATTTTATCGGTTTTATCATAATGTTACCTAATATGTTGAAAGTATCGATCCTTTTTATAAAAATGATCGATACTTTACAATATAACAAGTAAAAATATGATGTAATAGGTAGCGCTTATATAATGTAATAGGTAGCGTTTATATAATGTAATAGGTAGCGCCAGGGCCGGTCCAATGAGTTTTAATGTCCTGGGCGATATAACAATTTTATGCCCCTATACTTGTATCGTATAATAGACAAAACATAAATAATTGTTTTAAAACAAAAATGTAATAGAAATTATAGTCAAACAATAACAATACTAATACAAACTAAAACCTACAAGGCTACAAATATCACCTAAAACGATGTCTTCATGCATTTTTTGAAGCAAAAACCTCTATTATTTTACGATAAGGGGACCTGGAACATTGTTTAGAGAAAAGGGATATGATCTCTTCATGCCAACCACCTACAAGTTATAACCAAATTTACATACCATCAAAGGTTTAGAAGAGAAAGAACGATGCATTCCTGAACTCAAAACTTAGCTCAATCCGCTCATGCAGATACTTTTTAAATGTGGTAGTTGGCAAATTCAAAGTTCGAATCTTAACATAAGTCCTTCTCTACCGGAAAAGTTTAACGAGGTAGTCGAAGAATAGGAAAATAGATTCCAGATGCTAAATACAAATCTCGGGCCGATTCGATACTACACTTCGAGGATGAGTTTATCATAGGATTAGTTCATGTCAACCACCAAATTCACACACTATAGAGAAAGAATAAGCATTCTTAAGTGAACTCGAAACTCAAATGGTTCATGCAGTCATCTTCAAAAACTGGCATCTAATAAATTCAAAGTTCGAATCCAAGCATAAATCCTTCCCCTATTAGATAAGTTTAACCGAGTAATCTAAGAATAAGAGATGCTAAATTCGAATCTCGGGCCTATTTGATTCCACATTCGGATTCATTTGGCATAAAATTCAGAATATAAACATCAAGAATTTCACAACTAACAACATAGTAGTAAATGGAAAGAATTGAAGGGAAATTGTGCACAGGTAATAAGTTTCCAACAAGTTTTCGGTAGAAAACCTAGATCAAAGGTAAATATGGTTCCTGTAGTGTTTAATGTTAGATTTATGATTTAAACAGATAACTACTTTGTTCAATCAAGTTCTTAAAGCAAGATTAGTCGTTGGAATCTCAAGATCAAAGTGCAAGTCAAGGTGCCAGTCGAGAACAAGGTACTGATTTTATATCAAACACATGTTACACATCATTAATCATAACAAATACAAATAGATTAATCAACAACTAAATCATGATTTAGGAATACATAACAATAACTAAAAATCTCAAATGCACTAAGCTTAATGTAGGAAAGATTATCCAAAAAGTACATTGGTATATTTGTACATTGATTGGGTAATCTTATGAAAAAGAATGAGAAGGATATAATTTTTAGTTCGTTTTCATTGAAAGTTTGAAGCTGAAACACTAAAAGAATAAGATTTTCTTACGTTATATAGCCATATGTATCCAGCTCAGTTGGTAGAGCACAAGGTTCTTAACCTTGACGTCGTGGGATCGAGTCCTACGGAGGGCATTTCATAATTCAAAGGTCTTCTACGGAAGTTGCTCTCAACCTGGTGTTGGGGGCAGCCTACAATCTTACCTCCCCCTTATCCCATTACATATGGGAACAAGGGACAGTCATATAGCCATATGTATCAGCTGTGTTCAAAGAGTTCTTCACCATTAACAACTCCCCAATGCACACCTTCTAAGTTAAGAACCAAATGAGAAAACTACCCTGGTTGACAATGGAGTATGAAACTACCGATGAAAGTGAAATACAACCTAATACTTAAATATGTACAGAATTAATGAAGAAAAATGGTAAATCATTCAATTCCAAATCTGCTCAACCAGAGACTTCTTCAACTGGTTTAGGCGAGTAAAACCGTGTAACATAGAAATTAAGCCCTAGAAAACTTCCCCCCAACATGATGCCTTGGGCCGTCGCCCATGTGGCACATGTGTTGGGCCGGCCTTGGGTAGCGCTTATATAATGTAATAGGTAGCGCTTATATAATAAAATATGTTAATTACTGGAAACATTATCAAGCACAATAACATATTAGGTAGCGCTTATATAATGTAATAGGTAGCGCTTATATAATGTAATATGTAGCGCTTATATAATAAAATAGGTTAATTACTGGAAACATTATCAAACACAATAACTTATTAGGAAGCGCTTATATAACGTAATAGGTAGCACTTATATAATAAAATAGGTTAATTATTTAATTTGTTATTACAATATATTAGGTAAACGCCTAAAATATTACCAATGATAACATAACCGATTATTTATTGGAAACATTATCAAGTATAATAATGTAAACGATAAAAAAATAGGCGCTACCTATTACATTAAACTACCTACCGGATATGTTGAAAGTATCGATTCCATTTAAATAAGTATCGACACTTTTGGAATTTAAAAGAAATGCAGTAATAACACCTATAAACATCAAATACAATAAAACAATATTATTTATTAACAAAATAATATTATTATTTTTAAAATATTAGAATAATTTATTTAATATTATTTATGTAAATATTAATATTAAAATATTATATCTATAATTTTATAAATAAAAAATATGATTATTATATTTTATTAAAATAAAATTATTATAAATTATATTTTTTATTTTTTATAATAAGAATAATATATCATTAATTATATTATAATAAGAGAATAGTTAAACATATGTGTCGATACATTTTCTAAAAGTATCAACACATATGTTATAATTATAATGTAATAGGTAAATTTACAATATAACTGGTATACAACAATAACAAAACAAGTAAAAATTACCGAAAACATCATTATTTTAACAAAACAGGTAAAACGCTACAAGTTTTGTTATTTTTTTTACCGGTTTTGTTATTGTTGGGCATTTTACCGGAAATGTTAATGATGTTTTAGGTAGAAATAATAATGTTTTAGGTAATTTTTACCGGTTTTGTTATGCCCAACAATAACAAAACCAGATAACAAAACCGGTAAAAATATACTTTTTAATGATAAAATTAGCAAACACAAATTATACAAATTAATTTTAATTTTTTAGTTTGTAAGTTGCCACAATATAACTAATGAAAAAAAGGACACGGTATTTCTATTTCGATATTAGCTTTCAAATAATAAAAATATATATATATAATTATAATATAATTTTAAAAAATAATCATAATGAAGTGATGAAAATAGAATTTGACATTAATAATAATAAATTCGTCATGTCATATTAAAAAAAAATAATAAAATAATCCACATCATCAAAGAGAGATTAAAATAAAAGTAATTTGAAAGTTTAATGATTAAATTGAATTTTTTTAAAATTTAGTGACCAAAATAGAAGTGAGAATATAGTTGAGTGATGAATCATGTAATTTACCTAAATTAAAAATTTCACGTCAGGTGTGCCGTTAACTTTTTAACGGCATGGTACTAAAATTAAATAAAAAATAAATGTTAGGTATGATATTGAAAAAATGAAAGTTGAGGTACTAAATCGGAACAAAAGTGATAATTTATGTACTAAACATGGAATTTTCCCTAAAGAGTTATAATTCAATTATAATGGATTTTTAATAAATGATTAATTTTAAAAAAATCCTTATACTTTTTAATATTTATATAATAAGGACAATTTTGCTTGTGGTGTGTTTCAGTTCGTCGTTTTAGTAGTATGTTACGATATGCGACATGCACTAAATAATTTTTTAAAATTTTTATTAAACATTTAATGTTAACTCTTGGTTAAGATGAAACAACCCTAATCAACTAATCCAAACACTTGCGAAAGATTTCTTTTCTTTTTTGATATATATAGAGTAAATATAAGACATATATATTTAAAGATCTTCAACTAATTAACTATGAATGTCCATACTCTTGTCGATATTCAAACTCATAATCTCTATGGAGAATAACAAATCATTTTACCACTAAAGTCAATTAATTCATGCTAACCCATGCGATAGTTTGAATATATATAATAGTAAATTAAACCCAGATTCATCTGTTACAACATTTTTTGATTTTAAAATTAAATTAAATCAATTAACTTTTAAAATTGAATTAAAATCAAAACATATCAAATTAATTTTTTCAGTAATTTAAGTAATTACAAGATAATACATGTTAATGATTTTTCGTAGTTATTGACAACATATACTCTACAGACACAACTGTTCAAACTCATGATCTAAAGAAAGAACAACAGTCTCTGCAACCACTAATATCATTAAGTGAGTTCAAATTAAATTAAATTAATGCGATAAAATTTCCATCAAATTTTATTTGCACCTAATTTAAAATAATTATCTTATACAAATTATTTTATACGATAACTTTCTCTTAAATTCACACTATTTTAAGATTTTAACATAGAATTTTGCATTTTTTTTAAATGAGCAACTCCTCTGTTAAGTTGTTAATTAACAAATACTATATAAATGCTACAATTATTTACATATATATGTATTTAAAGTAAAAGAAAAAAATTATCACAGCAAAACCAGCAATAGTCTCTCCATCGTCACATGCAATAGCATTACTCATATGTTTACATGACCAAACAAAATTACACGAGCATCATGGCATATACAACTTATTGCCACACTTACACCTCCATGCTTCTGGATAATACTCCGCGGTGACCGGTGTTCCGGGCGGCACCGACACGTGAACAGGCTTGCATGGTGTGCAGTCGCCGCATTTTGAGATGCACCGTGGCGGGGATGATCCCGGGCCACTCAACAATCTCCTGGTCAAGCTTAAAGGGCGTACTGGGATGTCAACGGCATTCTTCTGGGCAGTTTCCTGTGACAAATGAATCGTAATAATCACCTTATACTATTACTTAGTTGATAATTTACCACAAAAATCAAAATCTATGACCCCTACAAATACCATGCGCGCTCTGAGCCGAGAACAAAAACCAATGTACACGGGAAGTCAAAACAAATAAACAATACAAATATATAACCTATTCCTAGACAGTAAGTGGTTTGGGTTAAAGCGCTGAGCTCTGCTACCTCAAGTTACCGAGACTCGTTAAAATTAAGAAGATAATCCTAAATTCTGCAGTACTGCCGCAGGGTTCACATGTGTTGCTTTCTTTTTGTTATTTTTCGGATGGAGATGGACCTGGCGTGAAGCCCTAGTCATATAGCATGGTTCCATTCGATGCATCAGAAGGCTCGTGGTGGTTTATGGAGAAGGGCCGCAATAATTTTTCTTAGCCTATTGTTACCGTACACACACTGTACAGACACAATAACTCAATCTAAAATCTTTTAAGAAGATCATTTTATTTTACTAGTGAATCCAATATCATATGAAATTTTAACCCTCAAACAATGATGTATAGATCGATTGTCCATGAACGATTCTTGTATTAGATCAGAGAAACATATGTTAAGAGTTAATAAGTAATACTGTGTAGGAGCAGGACACAGATAAATAGTACAGTTCACTGACTCACCTGAGAACAAATACCAACTGCAGCTTTAGCAAACAGTAGAAACCTAAAATCTACCGTCAAAAATGGAGTGTCATCAATCATCATATCAGATATATATATATATACACACACACACCAGGGTTTCGTTTCTGCCATGTTAGATGAGAAAGAGCAAACCTTGTTGATATCTGGTTGTAGTGCCGCTGATGCCAACCAATAAGCAAACTGAGAAAAGGATGAGGGAGAATAAACAGTAAAGCAACTGAGATTTGTGGGTGAGGTTTGGTTTTCTGCATCCCTTACTCTCCATGAAAGACAGCTTGAGCTTGTGCTTTCTTTTTGAGATTTTGAGGATTGGATTTTGAAGCTAAGTAGAAGAGAGGAAGTATTTGTCGTCTTCAACCCCACATATTCCATGCAAGTGTCACGCCAAACCAGTAGCTAACAATGTTGCGGATCAATGGATGCAGCGGCCCGAATCAAAGAACAAAAAGGAGATGAAAGAAGAGATTGTGAATCTAGGCGGACGGTGGATTCCTAAGGTTTTCCATGTTTGGGTGCTGGATTCTCTTGCAGGTTTTGCTCACTGTCTCTCATGATTCCCAAACGCAGAGATACAGTCATAAACAACACCAACAACACCCACCCCTCTGCTCCATTCATCCAAACCAAACCCCACACGTTCTCTCTCTCTCTCTCTCTCAAGCTTTCTTTGTCTCATCCGTTGCTTTCGAGTTTTTCTTTTATTTTCCACATTATGTGAATGTCAATGTCATTGTCGTAAAACCCAGGAAGATTATACTCTCGTAACTAGTTTACGACTCATTAGCTAATAGCTATTGATTAAATTCCAAGGACACAAAAAGAGAAAAACTAATTAATTAATTAATCAATCAGATTATATATAAGTAAGAAACTAATTAATAGATGTATAATGATATTGTCATACCATCATAACCTTCAAGCCCAAATTGTCGTAATATCAGAGTTAAGGTCTAACGGGACGTACGACCTTAGACGCTTCTTGACACTTATGATTTTTCTTTGTGACTAAGCAAGCCTTACCCAAACCTAATGAGCATGCAAAATCACCAAGGTTGGAACCAAGCCCTTAAGGCTTCTAGGATGCGGAAGCTTTAACATCAACATGGGTACTCCAAGCCACCAAGGTTGGACTATGGTGTGGAAGTGCAAACACAAGTGGAGCTACTCCTAGCAACCAAGAGAGAAAACAAGCACAAAGAGAATAAAGAACAAAGAACACAAGAACTAGAGTAAGTGCCTCAGAGTTTTATTACTCTCTCCCAAGAGAATGAATGAATGAATGAATACAAATAAGGAGGAGAGGCTTTCTATTTATAGTTGAGCTCACTCTCAATCAATGGCCTAGATCGATTTTGTTCAACGGCTAAGATCTGCCCAATCAATACAAGATCCCCTAAATCAAGGAAACACAACCCAATATATCTAATTACATCCATTAGTAGGATTCTTTCCTTGGATAGGTGTTCACACTAGATATGGTAAGATTCCCCCACAATATCTTCATGATTTGTTGTCTCTTTCCATATTTACTGAACTTCTTTGATCATCTTCGAATATGATACCAGTTTCCTTTTCTACACAACGAATGTGAACGGGCTCCACAATCTTCTCCAAGTGATGGGCCAAGTTTGGTGACCATGACAAGCCCGCACTATGTATAGAACCTCTTTAGCAGACACTTGCGCCAATATCTTGGACCCAAATATCACGGCCTGTGACATTCTCCCCCACTGAACCTAGTGATGGGCTCGTCGCTCCACTCAATGATCCTAGGCAACATCACCTTGGACACTTCTCAATGCCTTGGCTTGTTGCGATCCCCACTTACGAACTCCTTGCCTTGGCTTCTGTCGCATGTAACTTCACGATCCCTCACGCCATACTTCACATCAACTTAGTTGCCTTTTGACGCCTCTACTTGCTCATGTCTACCCATAAGGACTCGACCTCCCCCATAAAGGGTTTACTTGCTTTGGCTCTTGTCGCTAAGTGATGAAATGGGCTAACACATCCACAAGTAAATCTCTATCGTAGGAACCCTTTCCTACAAGTCTTGATTTATCTCGGCTTAGACCCTCCTGGCCCTGTTGCAAAGTCTTGGATCCCTTCCAAACTTTGTTTCCTCCACGCTAAAGGTTAGGTCTTACTCGACCTATGCTCACTAAAGACAATAAATCAAACCCAAAAGAACACTAGAATCGTGTTGAGATGTACCTTCCCCTATATTTCGTGGCATTTACTCAAAAATGTATCAACCATTCTTACTCCATGAAGTTTGATACTCCTCACATTGAACCCTCCTCATTGAGTTCTTTGTGTCACCATGCATCAAAACTTTCTCACAGTAAAGTATGATGTCCCTTCTCGCCTCTTCCCTTCTAACCCGAAGGTTGGAGTTCACTTCTCACCTTGCAAATGGGTAGTTTCTCCATGGTTGCCTTGTCTTTCAACGTCTTGGCCCCCTTCGACTTTTGTCTAATAGTCTTTGAAGAATGTTCTTCACGTGAACATCCTCGTCAAATACCTCATTCAACCCTTCTCTTATGATGGTCTCTGAAGCTATGTTCTCTACACGAACCTGCTCGGTAAACTCCTCGGACACGGATAACCCTTCCTGCACTTGGTTCCCACTCAACTTGGCAGAAACAAATATTATTGAGCCAAGTCTCAATGCCTCTTCGATCTTGGGTTCGTCATCTTCTCTGGACAACTCGATCTTGGGCTCATCCATCACCTTGGATGACTCGCCTCCCATCGGGTAATCTTGTAACACCTTTGTAATCTTAATTTGGAGACCCTTTGTTTGCTCAACTCTTACCTTTGGCGTAGCATCTTTGACACTTGTACTTATGCCAAGTCTAAAACATCTTCCCCAGACTCACCATCTGGTTCATCATTGAGTGGATTTTCACTGCCACTCAATGAATACATTCATCATCCTTTGACTTACCTTCATCACGGATTCCCTCACCACTACCCTCGACTTTCACCTTTGCCTTGGAAGTCTTGCTCTTCTTGACTCCAAATTCTCTGATAGACTCAGTGGTTTTCAAGGCTTTAGATAACTCATTGACTTCTCTTCGCTCCAACACTTTCTTCGCCCATGGCTTCAATCCAAATATGAAGGTGAAGAACCCATCTTCTTCAACCAAACTCGAGACTCTGAGCATACACACCTCCATCTTGGCATACTGTAAGCAACTTGCTCATTCTCCACCATCGGCTTGACAGTTTTATCTTTAGCTATCGCACCGGGTCTCTTCCTGTTCTTGACTGCTTTGACACCTGCAGTCTCGTCGCTTCTCGATCATGGATTGAGTAATTTGGAACTTATAGTCGTACCACTTTCTGGCCTGACGGCATTAACATCTACAATCACACCGGGTCTCTTTTCGGGTTTAGTTGTCTTAACATCCGTAGTCGCACCTTGTCTTTCTCTTGGCTTTGCTGTATTAGGACTCACAATCAATCCAAGTCCCTTTCTTGGCTTGGTTTTTTTACTTGCAGTTGCGACATTGACATTACAATCGTATAAAGTCTTGCTACTCTTTATTATGGCTTGGCTACTCCCCTGACGATGGTAGTAAGGCGACTTTTCTCGAGATATCCTCTAATCAAATGAGGATAATCGCAGAAATAACACTTCAACTTTTCTTTGCTCACCTTCTTCTTCACACCGGCCTTAGCCATGCCATTATTTCCCTATGGCTTTCCTTGGCTATGAACAATCGATGGCTCACATTGGCCAATCGTAGAGATTCTTTTATCATCTACCAACTGCACTTCTTCCTAGTCTACCCCACTATTGCCACTATCCCTGGCATGGGCCTGGACAACACAATGCTAGTTGGCTTGTCTCCCACAAGATCGATCAACTTTTCAGCTACAACTATGGCCTCCGAAAGTCTTTGGGCATCTATTTGCTCTCTCCCGAGTATCACCTCTGGACTGAGTCCCTCCAAGAAGGTCTTGAGCACACCATTCACTCATTGCTCTTTTGTATATGAGGATCTCCTTCTTTAGGTCATCCTCATCGTTTCTCAAAGCTATTACATTGGCTTCATGGGCATTACTCCCTCGAGCCATCTCCAACTCGTTGAGAACATGTTACGCCTCATCCTTGAACCTATCATCTATAGACTTCATTTTGTCAAGACGGGATTCTACAACACCCTGGGTCTCCTTGGCCTCTTCCTTGGATTTTTCAAGTCTTATGACCCTCATTTCCAACAAAGTTAAGATCTCTTCCTTCTCATTCCCTAAAACCAACATCTCAGCCCTAACAAAATCACATACTTTAGTCGACTTCTCTTTGAGCTGATAAAGAATCTCTTAAACATCGTCATTGATCGAGTATATAAACTCTTTCAAACTAGTGGCCCTCTTTTCTGTGGAAGAACCAACATCTATTAGATCATCTATCCAAGATTTACAATCATTACCTCAACCTTACAAATCTTCGATGTAATCCTCAATGGGTTTTGTCCACTTTTACTTTTCACTATGGCTCTCCTCGCCTTTTCGTGTAGAAAATCTTCCTCTTTTACCTGCCATCTCAAAACTAGTTCAATCACCCTTGACTAGCTCGAACACAAATCCTTGCAACTTAACTACAAAAGCAAATTAACTGAATAGTAAGTAAACTTAACTTACCCGGTTTACCACCTTCAACCAAACATGTACGAAACAATCGTTTTCTCCCCACAATGACTTTCTCTGATACCAATTATTAAGTCCTCAGAACCATCAAGCCTAAACTGTCGTAATATCAAAGTTAATGTATGACGAGACGTGTAAACTTTGATATTTCTTGACACTTTGGGGTATTCTCTACAACTAAATAAGTCTTACCCAAGCTTAGTGAGCATCCAAACTCATCAAGCTTGGAATTAAGCCCTCAAGGATTCTAGGATGCGGAAGATTTAACACCAATGAGGTTACTCCAAACCATCAAGGTTGGATTATGGTATGAAAGTGCAAACTCAAGTGGGGCTACTCCTAGCCACCAAGAGAGGTAACAAACACAAAGGGAATAAAGAACAAATAACACAATAACTAGAGTAAGTGTCTCAGAGTTTTATTACTCTCTTCCAAGAGAATGGATGAATGAATTAATGAATACAAATGAGGAGGAGAAACTTTCTATTTATAGTTGAGCTCTCTCTCAAGCAATGACCTAGATCAATTTACATCAACAGCTAAGGTATGCCCAATCAATACAAGATCACCTAAATCAAGGAAAACCCAACCTAATCCTATCTAATTACATTCATTAGTAGGATTCTTTTCTTGGATGGATGTTCACACTAGATATGGTAGGATTCCCCCACAATATCTTCCTGATTTTGTGTTTCTTGCCATATTTACTGAGTTTCTGTGATCATC